AAAAAAAAAAAAAAAAAAAAAAAAGAAAGGGAAAAAGAAACAAAAACCCACAAACCGTTGTAGCAAAGGGGACCCGCTGCCCGACACCAGAAGTGCTTTCGTGTTTCCGTTCCGTTTCATTTCGATTAATAAATATTTATGGCCAACGATATGCAAGACCCCCCCGCGCCGGGCGCCGCTCCCGCTCCCCGGTCCCGGTTCCCGGTCCCCGTCCCCGCCGCCCGGACACTGCTCGGCGGCGGCGGAGCGCGGGGGCGCGGGGCCGGGGGGCCCGGCCGTACTGCATGCACCGGCCCCCTCCCCTCCCTCCCGGGGCCGCCCCCCCCCGGCCCCGCTGGACGCTCGTCGCCCGGTCCCGGCCCCGCCAGGACTCGTCGGCCGTGACGAGCCGCCGCCGGTGCGATCGCGGCGAGGCTGTAATTACCGAGCGTCCTTCGACGGCGATTAATAAATATTCAATGTTGACTCCGCCGCTTTCGCCGCTTTCCTTCCGCCCCGGGGGCACCGGAGGCACCGGGGGCACCGGGGGCACCGGGCCGAACCCACCCCCCCCCGCGGCGGTGCCACMGCCGCTCCCGCMGCCCGAATGCGCGGCCCGCGGGGCGGCGGCGCTGATATAACGCGGCTCTGCCCCACGGGTGTCCCCCCCGGGACCGGGGAGGCGGTGTCCCCCCMTCACCAATAAAGGCACCGGGATCCGGAGCGGCGGCCCGGCTCGGTCCACCGGCGCTGACACCGCTCCGGTCCCCCGGGAGCGAGAGCTCGGAGCTCGGTGCCCGGCGCTGGCACCGGGCCGCGGTGCCKGTGGCCCGGGGAAGGGTGCGCGGTGGCCGTAGCCAAGGCCGGGCTCCTCGCTGGCGGCCCYGGGAAGCCGATCAGATCCCGGCGCCGTGCCCGGGGCTTGTGCCGGTTCCCGGTGCTTGTTCCCGATGGAGCCTCGGCGCSGTGCCCGCTGCCGGTGCCAGTGCCAGTGTCGATGCTGGTGCCTGTTGGAGCCCCGGGAGCCCCGGMGAGGCGCCGGTGCCAGTGCCGATATTTGTGCCGGTTCCCGGCGCCGGCGCCCGTTGGAGCCCCGGAAGCTCCAGTGCCGGTTCGGGGAGCCGGTACCCATGAGAATCCCGGGATCCCCGATACGGTGCCGGTGCCAGAGCCGGTGCCCGATGTCCGGTGCCGTTCCGGGTACCCCGTGCCAATGCCGGTGCCGATGCCCCGTGCCCATCCCGGTGCCCGGTGGAGCCCCGGGAGCGCGGCGCGGTGCCGGTGCCCGGCGCGGAGCTGTCCGCTGCGGCGGTGCTGAACGGGCGCCCGGGGCCTCTTAACGGGTGTCGGTTTATTTACCGTCCGCGCCACCGGGTCTCATCGCCACCCGACGGCCGCCGGCACCGGGCAGGGTCGAGCACTGGGCACCCGGTCTCGCCGGCCACCGGGGGCCGTGGGGGCCGGTTCCCCGAGGGAACACCTTGCACCGGGGCCGCACAGGGGCTGCGGGCACGGAGCCACCGGTTTCCTCCCGGGAGAGGTGTCCGATTCCCGCGACCCGCAACCCCGCGGTTTTTGGGGATAAACCGGGCCGCTTTAGGGTCGGGCCGTGACGCGCGGGGGCTGCAWATTTGGGTCGGATCCAGCACGGCCCCGACGTGCTGGGCCCGGTCCCGGAGCCACCGGTGGCGAGGAGTCAGAACCGGGCCGGAGAGCGGATCCGCCACGGCCCCACGAACCCCCGGTCGGGCCCCTGAACCCGCCGTTCTCTGTAAAGCAGCGGATCCTCTTCCGACGGCTCTGGCCCGAACATCCTCCCGGGTCTCGTTTGTCGGGGGAAAAAGCCCCGTAAGGACCCGGGGGGAATCGATGGGACCGGACGGAGGCTCCGTGGGGCCGGGGCTGTCGGTGCCCGACCCTTCTGCCGTCACCCGCAAGCAGCGGCACCGGGGCCGCGGCCCGGAGCAGCGGTGGCGAAGGGAGGATGCCCCTGCGGAGGGGAGGAGGGGGACGCGGGGACCGGGRGCTGCGGGGGGGCCGGCGACATCTGCTCCCGGGGCCGGCTATGCCAGGGGGTGCCGGCCCCGGTGGCGGAKCTGCCGTTTCTGTTCAATTGTCGGGATTTTTGTTTCCCCCGTGCCCGCCCGGCCCCGCCGAAGATGCGGGAAACCGCCCGGTTGTTCCGACAAGGCCCGGCCCCGCAATGCGGCCCCGCACTTGGTGCACGGCCCCGGTGTAAAGCTCCGGAGAACGGCCCCGGTGCAAAGCTCCCGAGGAAGGTTTTGGTTCRCGCTCCCGGTGAACGGTTTCGTTGCAAAGCTCCGCTGCCCGGCCTCGGTACAAGGTTCCGGTGCTCGCTCCTGGTGCCCGGCTCCGAAACCGAGCCGCCGTATAAGGCTCCGGTGCCCAGCTCGGTTCACAGCTCCGGTGCCCGGTCCGGTGCCCAGCCCTTCCGCCCGGCGGCCCCGGTGCCCGGTATCTCTCGCGGAGGGAAGGGGAAGGTCGGGAGCCGCCGCCCCGCCGCTCTCTGCGAGTGTTTAATGTGACCGTGGGATCGAATTCACCTCGGGTGGGTTTGGGGGATGTCTGGGGAGCTCCCGGGACCCCGCACGGCTGTGCCGGGGGGAGCGGAGTTCGGCCGGCACCGAGGGGACCTCGCGGTGGCGGCTCGCCCGGACACAGCCCCGCTATTTGGGAGCAGGATGAGACGGGGGTGTGTGTGTCTCCCCCCGCAAGTCACCCCGRTGCCCGCGGTGCCCCCGGTGCCCCTGGCCCGGCCCCTCTCCCGGCCCGGCGGAGCGCGGCGGGGGCGCGGGGCGAGCGCCAGCTCCGGGTCGCCGCTGCCACCGGCGAGTGCCAGCCGGGGGGGGGGAGGAGGAGTCATTGCTTCAGTTTAAATTTCATGGCATCTGTTCATTATTATACAGTGCGGATTTTTATATGGACAGCTAAATTAAAGACAGATTTCTGCCAAAATTGCAGATACCATAAAAAACCGGAGGCTCCCGGCGCCCGGCGCTCGCCGCGCTGCGGAGGCGGCCCCGCTCCGGGGGCCGGGGGCTGCCCGGGGGTCGGGAGGCATGTGGGGGACCGGGAGGGATGTGGGGGGCCAGGAGCGGGGAACTGTCCCCATTTTTGTGCAATGGGGAGCCCAGGACCGCGACCCCCTTTGGGGAGCGGGGGGTCCCGGCGGTCCCCGGAGCCGCGACCGGGGCGGGCCGGGCTGGCAGCGGTCCCCGCCGCCCCGGGGGCTGCAGAGCCGCCCCCTCCCCCGCCCGGTCTGCCAGGCTCCATCGCAGAGGAGTTAAAACAAGGACATCTGTGCCTGGAATCGCTGCGAAGCTCCGAACCTGCCAGCGCCTGCTGGCACCGGCCGCCGGCGGAGGCGGCTTCTCCGGAATGCGGCACCGCCGGCAGCTCCGCCCGGGGCTCCGGCCCGGCCCCGGGRGCTGCGGGGCCAGGAGGGTCTTGGCCCGGCTAGGCAGCGTCCCCACCTGTGTCTGTCCCCACCGTGTCCCYGCCAGTCGCAGCCCCATGGGTTCGTGTCTTTCCCCATTTAGCCCCTGCCCCACTGAGCTTTGTCCCCTGTCCCCAGGCGAGATACGGGGGTGGCGGGTGTGGGGAGACAGCGAGGGGGTGAGGAGAGG